TATAAGGAATAGATCTCTCATTCAAGTAAACACAATAGAGGTTTATTATAGGAATGTATTGGAACTGGGAAAATGAAGCCACTCTGAGGACCAGCTACTTACTTCTTTGGTTTTTCTGTCTCATGATCCATTTGCTTTGTCTCTTAGATATCTCTGATTCTTTTGATAGGTCTTATCCTCATAGATGAGGTGGATCACAAGTGCCCAAGTTCCTTTCTGTCTTTCTCGCTCTCACCCTCCCGCTTGCTCTCTCACTGTCTCTGCATCTCTTTGTATTTTATTCTCATTACTAGTGTCCTATTTCTCCATATAAATTTCTGAGGCTAAAAACTTAATTGAACCCTCAACTTTATGCACAAGGTCCTCGCCCCTGGTATAATCAGCTGTGAGGTATAGGATCCAGAGAAAGGTAGAGTGATATGATCCTCTCCAGAAGCTGTGGATGGGATAGTTTAGTTCTAAACAGACTGTGGATGGGAAAGATATTGTGGTGGATCTTAATGAATGTCTGCTGTCAGAATGGGGATTAAAGGACAGATACCTGGCCTGTCTTCAGGCACTTACAATTTAGTCACATGCAATTGACTATGTATAATACCAGACAGACAAACATGAAAAGGCAGCTTCAAAACTGCAACCAAATGCTAGAAGAGTCCCAAAGCGGGAGAGTGATTTTTTAAAACCAATAATTGAAAAAATCTCTCTGTCCAAGGGGAAATTTGAATAACAGGAAAAAAAGTAGACAGTGGTGGAGTGGTTGTAGTGGTTATTCCACAGAAGCTGAAGTAAAGGAACTAAGTTACAAAGTCCAAATTGGGAGGCTGACACAGGGAAAAGCAAAAAAGAAAGGGAATTCTGGAGCAACCACAAATTTCAGTAGAGGAAGAACAGTGAGAGAGAAAATTAGAAAGAAATCTAAGAGCAGCAAGGAGGGTCTTGAACACTGGAATAAGAAATGTTTACTTCATTTTATAGGAATTGGGAGCCATTAAATATTTTCTAGAAAATTATTCCAGCAGCAGCAATCAGGGTGGGCTGGCATACAGACATATGCTAAGAAGGAAAGTCCTTATCATGATATCAGACAGAGTTAATAAGAGACGTTGTGACTGTGGGAAGGCAGGCATTGATGTTGGGAATGTGCGGAAATAAAAGAATCAGGAAGGCCACTGTGTGGAGGAAGAAGACAGAAGTGTTGCTTTTCATTCAGAGGTTTTGAGTTTTGTTGAAACAAGAAAGAGGGTGAGACCTTCACTATCTCCAGAGAATGTGGGAAAGAGGTTAAGAGATTATGAGTTGGGTTTACATAGGATGAAACAGAAAAAATTTCTGAAGGATCTGGGACAGCGTTTAGAGAAGGGAGATTACGTGAGATTCAAGAAATACTGTAGAATAGAGGAAAATTTAACATATTTAAGAATTGCGGGTAGGGATCCTGTAACTCCTTGATGGGCTTTTATGAGGATTAAATAAGATGATATTTAGGGAAAAGTGCTTTGCACAGTACCTAGAACATTATAAGTGCTTATTGTTAACTGCCAGTATTGTTACTTTTGATACAGGTTCTGCTTCAGTTTATGTTACTAATTCATGGAGGCCCCTGGTAGGGAGACCTCTTAACTGTGCCAAACCATTCAAATTAATAAATCAACTCTGTGTTGTGCCACAGTATCCACTTAGAAGAGAGCAACAGGCACAGCAGTGACATCGCCTGGGGATCAAATACTATTCTACTCCGGTTTTCCTGAGATTGAAGGCAAATTAATCCTTTTCTCTAATGTGGCAAGTGAGTAGGAACAGAATCTTGCATAACACATTATAGGGCTGAAATAAAATCCTATAAATAGTTTTGTGTTAACAGTACGAGCTTTTAAATATTTGCTCCAAATTTTAACACATTACTCAACACCCATGAACATCCCATCGCTAATTGCTATTGTTCAATCAATCAAGTAGTTACATTTGATTTATGTCTGAGAAAATCAAGCTAAGAAGTTAGTAGATTTAAATCTTACCATCTAATCTCACACAGAAATAAATCTCTTATTAGGTGAGAAATACTTAACAAGCTATTGTAGCTCTCTTGGTCCAGGTGGCTATTTAATCAGATTCATACAAAACAGGCAATTCAACTCATGTCAATAGAAAGGCATTGCTCAAATTACCCACTTATTAATTCTTAAGAGGTTAATAAAAAACCTACTTTGGATAAAATAAATCACTGCAGATAAAAATTGTGTCCTTGGCACATATAAAAGTTAATAGATGAATAAAGATGCATGAAAACTGCTTGGTGTGAAGGTTACTGGATCTACTCAAACCCTCGATTCTTGCATGTGTATGCATACTGTAGCATGATTGACCCAACTTCCACTGAAAATAATTTTCTTGAGGGGAAATTCCATCTCCTGTGCCAACTGCAAGTCTTAGCTCCTCTATAGGAGCAAACAATATCAACAAAATATAAACTTGACTTCATTTCACACTTATGCACATCATTCTGACTGTTTCACTGGACTCCTTGCTTTTGTTTACTGCAGCTATAAACCTGAAACTGTATTCTGCTTGGCCTGTATTATCAGATCATTAAATCTAGAAAGAAAATGTAACAAAGTTCAATATCATAATGATTCGATTATAAAGAAATGAACATTTTACTATTGGTTGGGCATTTAGTATCACTGCTAATCTTAAATTATCACATCCTCTGGTAAACTTTAATTGGCTTTAGCTCTTAAGGAATAATAGCAAAAGAAGTCAAAAAAGGTAGGTGAATTAGAAGTCTATAAATAGATGTGATTTGGGCAATCAGGTGTTAATGCTTGCGTAAGTGAATTATTTTAATATACGTCTAGAAATACTCAGGTTTCCAATCTCCAGTCACTTTTGTAAATAGTATCCTCTCTTATGGGGGCAGCTATGTGCCCTCCTGAGCACCTGGTTAGGAAAATGTTCACTTTCATGTGTGCTCTGAGCTGCCTTTCCTCCAAATAAAAATAGAAACTAGTTTGCAGCACCACACAGGGTTCCAGTGTATTATATGAGCCTATCACTGGTTTCCTTTGGTATCTTATCTATTCCATTAACTCAATAAAATAGAAGGCAAAGCTGGGGACAAACTGTAGGAGGGCTCCCCTTGGAAAACACATGCAAGACCTGTAAGCTGGGGTTTTAACTTATCTAATAAAAGCCAGTTCAAAGGAAGTTAATACTTCATTTTTCACCCCCTTTATTAAAGATCATAAGTACTGCAACTCAGGAGCAGAGAAAATAAAATAAATATATGGAGGAGTACAGGTAGAGGCAATAAAGAGCATGGCTTATCTATTTTCTCAAGATTTAGGAAGCACTTGAAGGCAAAACTCACAGACAAGCATTTAAAACATTCACAACAAAGGCTCCTTGGCAAATACAGTGATCCTTTCTGGATGCAGTAATCCTGCTTGGTTTCTTAGTAGAACAGAAACAGCTTGACCTAGGTGTAATGAGGAAGAATGCCACCTACCACCCCCTCCAAGTTATACTTTTATATACATTTAGTAATTCAGATTTTAAAAAATCGATTGATCAATCAACTCCTCTGCTGCTCCACGACCCAAAGAAAAACAATACTAGAACTCCACTCCAACAACCAAACTAAAGGAAAGTGTTCCACCTAGAGACTGTTTTCATGAGCCAAAGTGGATGAGAGCTTATCTAGGAAATGAATATTATTTTAGCCTATCCTTGCAAATGTGTAGTTAAAAAAAAAAAAAAGAAGAAGAAGCAAAAGGTATTGCCCCTGGTGTAATTAACAATGTTAATCTTCTTTTTCCTCTCTATGGTGATAAAGCAGTCATTTTTATATTTAATTAATGCAGAGGATCATTTTGGAAACTGGCTAATGAGCCTCTGATCACATTACCATGAAAATGTGCATTAACATTGCAACTGAGGAGGCTGTTTCATGTGTATCAAATCCACTTTGTAATTAGCCCACTGTGAAATGAATCACGTCAGGGGGAAATCTGAGGGAACCAGTAGATAGTGGGCATTTGGCTCCTACTGTGCCACGGGCCACCAACATCCCAAACACTGTCTTTCATCAGCAATCTTGTCTAAAAACAAAAGTGGTAGTGTGGCACATCTGGGACAAACTAGAAGAAGGGAAAAATAAACTTTATTTTGCCAAACAAGAAATTTGGATTTGAGTATCCCCCCACCCCGGGGAACTTGCCCATATAAAATGGTGAATTAAGAGAATTCTACTAAAACTATGAAGGCTGAAGATATAGTTTTATCTTTATTCTGAAAAGCTCTCAGATACATATTAAAGAGACATCTGAATTTGTTCACTTGTTCTTATGTCACATGCAGATATTGTAATAAGCTCTTGGAATTAATGTCTAATGCTAAACAAACAAAATAATTTAAAAAAAAAGAATCCAAGAACAAGTGGTAAGAAAATTTCTTTATCTCCTTTTTCAGCTAAGACATTTTATATATTTTTCTCATATAATACAAAAATACTAGGTCTTCCCTTTAAACCAAAGCACAAATTTCCAATTAATCAAATAATTTCCTCTGGCTAACAAGATTTGGCAAGAAACTTTTCCTGTCTATTCAAAATACCTGAGATCACAGACCTATTAAATCTCAATACTTATACAGACAATGATACAATTGCTTTTCAAATGTCAACAGTATTCCAAAATGAAAGAGGTATCTCAAAATACTACACACATGGATCTCAGTGCTACTCTTCTTATGTGACTGACATCTTGGCAGTAGATACACAAAATGTTAAAAAGAATCCCACAGGAAGTCATCTGAAGGGGGAGTGGCAAGGAAGCTGAAAACTGCCACCCAAATCCAAAATAAAGAGCCCCAAACCAGCAAGTTTTCCCTCAATTCTGAGATGTACTGAAAGAAAAAATAAAGCTAGCCAGAATTCATTTACCGTCTTTCAGACAAACACAAAGCCTGCCTGTTTAGTTGCTGGGATTAGACCCTGCACTCACCTGGGAAACTTCATACAGCAGTTTGTAGTGTTCCTCTCTTTTCTGAAAAGTGCACAAATTGCAGCCCATTCTAAGAAGCAGAGAGAGAAAGCAAATCTTCTAATTTCCCCAGAACTGAAAGGCAAGTGAACTGAAAGGGAATCACCCTCCAGACTTGACTACTGTTTTTCATCAGTCACTTCAGTCCAGAAACACAGACAAACCGCTGTTAGCTGGAAGCATAAACCAGGGTGGTGTGTAGCAGCATGCTCTTCTTCGCTTTCCCTAAGTATCTTGCACTCACGGATACACACACAGAGTTTCCAGTCAGTTCATGGCAACACTCCCCCGTCTCTGCATCAGTGCACATGACTACACAGATTCCAGCTCATGAATATTAATAGTGCCTCATTGATTATTTATGACAGAACATGTTAGCAGGGAGGGGTGTCATAGCTGCTGCTGATGACAGATGAATATTCACTAATTAAGAAGCAAATGTAGTGTGGTTAAACAAAATTCACTTGTGTCAATACTATCTCTGTTTATTAAGAATAGAGTGGTTGAGCATGGGGCATTAAAAAAAAAAAAAAAAAACACCCACATACAATTTCTCCATTGATCTAGGCTTTTAATATGGGAATAAAAAATTTAGAAACAGAAATATACTTAGTTCACATCTCTGTTTTCTGCAACAATAAGAAGGAATATTTTTAGCATTATTAAATCTAGGAGAAAAAGAGTAGGAACAATCATTTAAATTTATAACATAAACACAGAAGCAAAGAAAATTTGGGGAGATATGGGAAAGGAACAAAAGGTAGGAGAGTATTATTTAGTTTTAATTCTGATCCGACAAAAATTACTGAATAGTTCCTATGTAAAAATCATTACATACTAAAAGGGAAATAAGGCATAGTCTCTTAGTCTAAATAAAGAACATTTAGGTAAGTATGCATAGATGATACTTGTACAGATAATAAATATTTTAATCGGCTAATAAGAGAATATTATTGAATATATATTTGTAACAATATAATTCATGTAGAATCATATTCAGAAATTAGATAACTACAATGCTTTTTCTCAGAAAAATTTCAAATGCATATAGTATTTATGCTAATTTTATTAAAGTCATATATAATATTTCAGAAAGCTGACACTGGCACTATTTAAATTCTAATGTAATGCACAATGACTCCATTTAAGGTTCTATATTTAGAGTTCATAATGTACAAAGGTGAATACAGACTTAAAAACTAAGCTTAGATGTTTAGATAATAGAAGTAATGCATTTAATTTCACACTCTTGAAAATACATGTATTGTGTTGAGAGTTTGCAGCTCTGTCCCTTAAAGAGATACTGCAAACAGTTAAAGCAGATAATAAAAGAAAATTCCTTTTGTTCCCATGCTGACTTATCCACAACCTCTGCTAATTAAGAAGTATGTCCTTGTTCCAGCACATCTTTAAACTGGACAGGACAGCAGGTGGGTTCCAAAGCAAAAATAATTACTTGGAAACTGATGACTCTGGTTAGGAATTACATTGAATTGTGAAGATTTTTAATTGCTCAACATTGACGAACGACTACTTTTTGGGGTCCAATTCCCTAAAAGTGCTTTGTCAAATGTTTAGAATCAATAACAGGAAATGATTCTAATGAGCACTAATTGTTAACAAATTGGCTTTGCAACTAACAACACCTCAACACCAGCAAGTAGCAAAGAGATGAGCAATCATCTGCTGCTTATCAGTCGTTTCCCTTGGGATGTAATAATCCGATTTTCTGGGCCTAATTTCACCTAACAGCCTGGATGAAAGCCAAGCTGAGAGACCTACATGAAAGTGGCATCATAATTGGGAACATTGTGTGTGAATAAAGTTAACCAGGACTTCCTGCAAATTAGAAACCACTTGTAGGAGATATTAATTAAGGCTGGAATCTTTTATAGAGTGTTTTCAAGGAGGTATTGGAAAGAACCTTTATGAAAATCAATGGTGACCACAAACAATCTTCTCCTTAGGTGCAGTTGTAAAATACATTTTTGATTTTTTCAAAGTTTTAATTTATCTAAACTCCTATTTCATCTCCCATGAAATGTCCTTATGCTAGAGTTCATAGTCTCAAAGTGAACACTGACTACTTCTTTGAAGGATTATATATTGCTGAGTTTGAAAGAATTATTGGTTATCAGATGTTTAAATTCTGTATTTTAAAAAGCCAGACCAAGGAACTAGAGTGCAGTAAGGCAAGGATGGTTCGTTTATCTATCAATGAAAGTATTTGCTTCCTCCACTGATAGAACGCATTTATGTAATAGATTTTGAAAGCTAAGTAAGATTCTTAATTATTAAAGTTGCTACTTATTGGAGTTTCTTCTCCTAGTATTTTGTAGTTGGCATTTAAATAAAAATTAAACAATCATAGTTTTAAAATATTTTCTTAGTCATCAAAAAGTAATGAATGAACATTTCAGAGAAATAAGCAACTTTCAATCTTAGTCCTACATAAAGAACATTTGTGGAAGTATGAGTATATGATACTTGTACAATAATACCTTAACCACATAATAAGAACGTATCTATTGAATATTTGAGGTTACTCCTTCAGCAGTTTCTTGTGGCTCTTTCCTTTATGCACTACTATTCCCTCTGTTCTTCTATTTCTAGCTCAGGAAGCAAAAGCAGCTTCTCCACTTACCAAATGCTGCTCTTGGCTCATTTAACCTGGAGAGATTCCACCTTCTACTACTAATGGACTCATTCCATGGAATTGAAATGTGATTTGGAAAAGGGACATCCATAATCCCAGAGTTTTCTAAGTTTTACTAGAATATGAAGGTTATGTGTTCCAAGAAATAAGTGGCTAAACTTGCATAGTATAAAGCATAAAGCATAAAGCTTGAAGTAGACAGCAGCAAAAACATTCACCTGAATACTGTTTTAAAATGCAAATGAATAAGATCTCATCTGTCTTATGCAATAATAATACAGAATAAAAATAAACAGGAAATAAAATCTTACTTTTCCAAATATCCTTAGAAAATCAAAATTGTAAAATCATGTGCTAGGTGTATATTTCAAGATATAGCTATTTGTTTTAATTGGGTGCATATTTCAAAATATAGCTATTTATTTTAATTGCCTTTAACCTGTGTTAGCTTACTTCACGTGAATACATTGGCATTCAAAACAGGACACATTTGTCAAGAGCTAGACTGAGATTAAATAAAAGGCTAAACTGATAAGTAAAAATAAGGAATACAACATTTTTCTTATTTTTCCTATATCAACTGTACCACTGAGTAGCTAAAGAAATTGTGAGGGAGTTTATCTTCCTACAATAACTTCTGATAATAAATAAAGAAATGATAGACTTTGTCATGCCAGCAATCCTTAATTAATTCAAGGATATAGTTACCTTGAATTAATGACTACTAGTACAGCACACACACACACACACACACACACATACATGCACACACACGAGATAAGCAGCCAACAGAAGACATTGATACCACCCTTAAGATAGTCTTTTCCAAAAGTAAGCAAATTACAGAGAATGCAGAGGACAGAGGAATACCTTAAAGTACGCCATGGCATGCCATCAGCCAAATTTAGACTGTGTTATATGATGTCAATAGGTACATATTCCAGTTGGTGGGGGAGGGCATGAGGGGATAGGAGAGGGTGGGGAGAGAGCGAGAGTGTGTGTGAGAGAGAGAAAGAGGAGAAAGAGAGAGAGAGAGAGAAAGAGAGAGAGAGAGAAGATGGAGAGGTAGTCTAAAGAAACTTTAATGACATTAAAAATAGTCATTATAAAACTACATTTTTATCTATACACATCATTTTGCTGATAAAATTCTAAATAAAAGTAAGGAAACAATTACCAAATAAATAAAATGGCGAATACTCTTTAGAAGAGGACACCAGAAAGTTTCAAGTTTCAGTGTGGTTAACAAAGTTCTGATTTTTGGCCTAGGTAGTGATTTTCCTAGGTGGTCACATTACAATTAATTAAACTGACATTTGTTTTAGGCATTTTCTATATTTTTGCTATGTTGAACAATAAGACTAAAAATACTAATTTACAAAAGAGACTGTGCCTATGTCTTATCCCTGTGGTCAATGCAGTACATAGTCGCAAATCCTACTAAAAGAGAAATAGAAAATCCAAATAAGATTATTCTGAATTACCAATATGCTTGAGTATATGACAACTGTCAGAAACTGCAGACAATGGCTTTCTCTATTGCCTTTTGCAATGATTCTGATGTTCTTTTCCTGTACTGGTATGGGAGTTCAGTAGTTCTATTGCCCTTTCTCTATCCTCTTTATCCTTGCTACTGCCACACGCAGACCTTCCAACTATGCTCACCACATACCTTGACACACTGTTTGTACATTTTCATTCTAGTCCCAATCCTGCATTTATCATAAGGGACACCTAGGCACCTGTGAGTATTAACAGACACATAGTTTATCTATTCAGAGAATGCCTAACATTTTCTGAAGTTCAGGTCTTATATTCAGCATAAAGACCAAGAATCCCAAGGCTCAGAGAGACACTGACTTGCTCAAGGTCAACTTGAGTAAAGAGATCTGAACTCAGTTCTCCAAATACAAATTCTGTGGCAAAATTCAATAGTTAATTTGTGGGGCTATCTCTCTCGCAGAGGAAACTAGAGCTACAGTGATATGTATTTGCCAGATGATTGAGGAAATGGAAGGTAGCACTGGAAATTAAAGAAAAAAAAAAAAAGAAAAGAACTTAAAAAACACAGATCTGGCCTAAAGCAAGGAAAGTAGCTTGTAAGTAAAAATTTAAACTTTACCTATTGCAATTCTGAATTTTTAAAAATGTGTCACAGCTAAATACCTTTAGTTAGCTGATATTCCCCAATAATCAGTAATTATAAGCTGTACTTGAGTGCATACTAGGATGACCAACTCCTCTTGGTGTGCCTGGGAATTTGCTGGCTTCAGCAATGAAAGTACCAGGCCCTAAAATCCCTCAGTCTTGGGCAAACTGGTCACTTGAACATACACTTCTTTTTCAGACTTCAGCAAAGCTAACAACTGTATACAGGTCCACATCTCTACCTTTGCTTTAAATGTTACCTCATTCTGCATATTCTCTGGAAACCCACAAATCAATCTGTGAACACTGTGGTCCAGTTTAAAGACTCTCTTCTCCCTGACCTCATCACCTGGCAGTAATTTCTTCAATTTCCAAATTCTCAGTTCATTTTATCCATGCTCATTTCAAGGCACACATTACTTTTCCTTTATATAATTTTCATATGCATGCTTTACCCCTCTTATCGGACTATAAGACATGTGAGGGCAGCAGTAACATAC